TCAATCCCTGGGTCGGGAAGATCTCTTGGAGGAGGTCATGGCAACCCGCTCCAGTATTCTTGCCAGGAGAATCCTGGGGACAGAGGAGCCTGGTGGGCTACAGTCCATAGGGTCACAAAAGAGTTGGACACGACTGAAGCAGCTTAACATGGATGCACACACGCATGCCACCACATCATTCTTTTCTGGGAGGAGGGTAGGGGAACAATTATTTTGGAAATATTTCCCAAGATGTTATTAACTGCGTATTATTATACCAACTGGCAGTGATAATTTCCAAGTATAATTAAAAAAGTGAAAATTTGTCAGTGGTGTCTGACTCTTTGTGACCCCGTGGACTATACAGTCCACGGAATTCTCCAGGCCAGAATACTGCAGTGGTTGCCTTTCCCTTCTCCAGGGGATCTTCCCAACTCAGGGATGGAACCCAGGTCTCCCTCATTGCAGGTGGATTCTTTACCAGCTGAGCCACAAAGGGAAGCCTGAGCATACTGGAGTGGGTAGCCTATCCCTTATCCAGCAGATCCTGTCAAACAGTAGTATCTTGGAGGAATAAAAATGATTTTACTTTAACTTTTCCCATAGGTCAGTCACTATTAGGCAGAGAATCAGTATCTTAATGGAACTCTTGATGAAAGTACAATCAAGTGGCAAGCACATAATAAATGTTATTTGGAAGAAAAAGCAAGGTGAATTATGAGTTCCTAATGCACTAACTTACTTTTCTAATTGCTGTTAGCATGAAGATGAGACAATAGTTGTAGGAATGACCAATGGAATATTGAGTGTTAAACATCGGAAATCTGAAGCAAAGAAGGATTCTGTGCCCAGGAGAAGAAGGCCTGCATATCGAACTTTTATTAAGGGGAAAAATTATATGAAACAACAGGTATTTGTATATTTCATATATATTTTTTAAAGATGAAAGTTGTTAGAGTAGCCAGCTTCATCCCTGCACATTCCTGAAAAAGTGTAGTTCACCTGGCAGTTAGCTTCATTTTTAGCTTCATTTTACTTTTCTCTACTTCATATTTATCTCCAGATTGCTGGATTAGGAACATTAAATTAATAACTAATGGGAATGTAACTGTCCGGTTTTCCCGAAACCATTTGTTGAAGAAACTGTCTAATGATACTTCTTAATGCCCTGAATCATAGCAGCGTTATTGTGCTCAGAACAGTGTCTTTAACACACTGGCTGGTTTGATCTTCTAAATAACCCTGAAAAAGAGTAGAGCCACTAATATCTCCATTTGGCATCTGAGAAGATGGAGATACAAAGAAGTTGTGATTGATCCAGGATTTCTTTACTGGGACTAGGTGGTGGTTCAGATTCCTGTTTTCTCTTTCTACTGAGTCACTGCTTGCTGTGTAAAGAGAACTGCAGTGAGCAGTGTCTGCGCAGGATGGGATGTTGTGTGTGGATCCTAAGTTAAAATCACAGGGCACTAAGAGCATGGTGATGTGGCAGATTATTCTGTTTTTATTTGCTTGACTTCATGGGCTTGTGACTCTTATTTATGATAGAGTTGAAGGACACTGTGGAGCTATGATTATTTCAAATAAAACTCTTATTTGGATATTGATTTTTCTTTGTAAATTTACTTTTCAATGCAGGATGACATTTTGATCAACAGGCCATCAAAGAAACACCTAGAATTGTATGACAGGGATCTGAAAAACTTCCGGATTTCTAAGGCACTTGACAGAGTCCTTGAGGTAAGTGAGTAAAGTGTGTGTGATTTTTTTTTTTATAAAGACTTTCTTTTAAGAGCAGTTTTAGGTTCATAGCGTAATTGAAGGGAGGTACAGAGCTTTCCCATCTGCCATCTGCCCCACACATGCATAGCCTGTGGAGTTCATTTGTTGCACCTGATAAACCTACAAGGACATTAGTTTTAATTTTTTAAATTTATTTTTAGCTGCAGTGGGTCTTCGTTGCTGTGTGGGCTTTCTTTAGTTGCGACAAGTGAGGTCTTCTCTCTTGTTACGGTTCACGGGTGTCTCATGGTGGCTCCTTTTGTTGTGGCGCATGGACTCTAGCCTTGATGTACTTCTTTCCCAACGTGGAACCAGTCGGTTCCAAGTTGGATGGCATCCAGTCCGATCACTTCATGGCAAATAGGTGGGGAAACAGTGACAGACTTTATTTTCTTGGGCTCCAAAATCACTGCAGATGGTGATTGCAGCCATGAAATGAAAAGACACTTGCTTCTTGGAAGAAAAGCTATGACCACCCTAGACAGCATATTAAAAAGCGGAGACATTACTTTGTAGACAAAGGTCTGTCTAGTCAAAGTTATGGTTTTTCCAGTAGTTATATATGGATGTGAGAGTTGGACCATAAAGAAAGCTGAGCACTGAAGAATTAATGCTTTTGAACTGTGGTGTTGGAGAAGACTCGAGAGTCCCTTGGACTGCAAGGAGATCTAACCAGTCAACCCGAAAGGAAATCAGTCCTGAAAGACTGATGCTGAAGCTGAAGCTCCAATACTTTGGCCACCTGATGTGAAGAACTAACTCATTTAAAAAGACCCTGTTGCTGGGATAGATTGAGGGCAGGAGGAGAAGGGGACAACAGACAATGAGATGGTTGGATGGCATCACTGACTTGATGGACATGAGTTTGAGCAAGCTCTGGGAGTTGGTGATGGACAGGAAACCTAATGTGCTACAGTCCATGGGGTTGGACACAACTGAGCTACTGAACTGAACTGATGAACATGAAAGTGCCGGGCTTCAGTAGTTGCAGCGCATGGGCTTATAGTGCCCTGTGGCATGTGAAATCATCCCAGGCCAGGGATTGAATCTGAGTTCCCTGAACTGGCAGGCAAATTCTCAACCACCAGGCCACCAGGGAATTCTGGAGCTTAAAAAAATTATTTTTTATTTTAAACTTTTTATTTTGTATTGGGGTATAGCCAGTTAACAGTGTTATGATAGTTTCAGGTAGACAGTGAAGGCACTCAACTGTTCATGTATCCATTCAGCTATAAATGTATCCATTCTTTCCCAAGTTCCCCTCCCATCCAGGCTGCCATGTAACATTGAGGTTTTTTTTTTTCTTTTCATTGAGTTTATTTTTAAAAGAATTATTTTGTTTCTTGCCTTGACTCTAAACTGGGAAGGAAAAAAAACCCATTTAAATTTGGTAATTATTAGTGAGTACTAAGACTGTGACTCTTTTCTTGTGCTGCTCATGTTGACTCTGAAAATTTCTAGCCCACTTGTACAATAAAGACGCCCGAGATCACAGTTTCCATCATAAAGGAGCTAAGTCGAAGAGGAGTCCTTGCAAACGCCCTTGCAGGTCGAGATGAAAAGGAAATCAGTCGTGTTCTTAATTTTTTGATAAGGTATGTTTTATGTCTCTGAAATGCATGTATTTTGCATCTGAAATTTTATTTCCAAATTTACTTTTAGTTTGAGGTTTGTAGAGACCTGACAGAACAGTTTAGTAAATCTGTTTTAAGGTTTTTTTAAAGTTTGCGGGTTTCAGTAAACAGAATTTTTGCTTCGTAGGAACCTGTCTCAGCCAAGATTTGCCCCTGTTTTGATTAATGCTGCTGAAATAATTATTGGTAAGTAGTTGATAAAATTCTAGCATGCTTGAAGAAGTAGAGGTGTCAGATAATGAAATCAAATAGATAGAAATACCTTGTTGTTATCAAGTCTCCAGCAAAGATTTCATGGAGAAAACAATAATAGTAAATCAGTGCATTTTAAAATAGAGTAAAATGTTTACAATGGATTGGCTTTCAATTGCTGGCACTAGGGTTATTATAATTTAAAAAGTTTTTTTTCTTTAAATACCTACAATGAGCATGACTAATTTTTAATGAGAAAATGAAAAATAAGTCGGAATTAATTATTTCTCTCTGAAATACATTTATTCAGATGGATTGTTTATGTAAAACAAATTGTACAAGTACAGATTTTTCAGTGCCTTTTATATTTAATATTTTAATATTTTTGTACTTTTTCTAAATTCTGCTGTTCACATTTTGTTTAGAAAGATGTTTATAGTGAATGTTTCCTCTCTTTCTAGATATATATCTACCTGTGATTGGTCAGTCACCTGTAGTTGATAAAAAGTTTTTGATACTTCAAGGACTAGTAGAAAAAGAGATTGATTACCAAAGAGAACTGCTGGAAACTTTGGGGATGATGGATATGCTTTTTGCTACCATGACAAGGAAAGAAACTGTGTTGCCGCATGATACATCTGATGGATTTCTAGAGAACAATAAGATTGAATCATAGTGTCTGCTTAACAGGAAACGTAAGAACTCCTAACATGGAATAGATTTGATGCTATTAACTATTGGGAAGAGAATTTCTGATACATTACAAAAATCTATTTGCAGAAGCAGTTTTATAGAAGAGACTGGAATGACTATGCTTGGAAAATAAGAAACTGTTTTTAAACATGGTTTTCCATGTTCTGCTTTGAATTATTTCGTGGCATCTTCAGCTGGAAGAGATCTCAGTTTTGGTCATAATGTATGTCCATCTTGGACAGGTCGACATTAATTTTAATATAGCTGCGTTCTGTTTCAGCGTTTGAGTAGACATTCAGAACTCTGGAGAGGGTTTCAACTTAAGAATCCTGCCAAAGGAACAGGGCTTTATTTTTTCCTTCTATCGTGGAAATACAAATGGCAACAACCAGTAAATTCTCCAATCAGTGCACTTGGGGTCCCAGGCGCCAGCCGAGTGTGCCCCATTTCCTTGCTGTCATCATTTGTCCCAGGTCACAAGTTCCATCTCAGCTGGTAATTGGACTGTATCTGTTGCCGGTGTGGCAGATTAGTGGCCAGCTCCGAATACTTGACACGACTTTGACATGTATTCAGAGAATGTGATGAGGCAGATTTGATACCTAGAAATTGTGCTCACCAGCCTGTGTTTTCTTTTTCTTCCCGTAATCTTGACTGTGCTGCTCAGAACAGGGCCTGTAGGTAAGCCTTCGGGACCATATTTTTCCTCTTCCCCTCAGTATGCAGCCTTTCTACCAGCTTTTCAGCTTGTTTCAGGTCAGGGGAATGATAAAATTTGCCATTTCTCTTGTGACCAATAGCATTTCAGCCTTTTTTAATGTGTATTTGGAGCTTATCTTGCAGCCACCTACCTCTGAAAACCATTTTCTTTGGCCTGTGTTTAGGTTATTTTTCCCTCCTCTATTCTTAACTTCATTTTGTGTTTCAGAACCCCTTGTATCTTTTTTTTTTAAGTTCAACATAAATCACATTTTTTATAAAGAGACTCTTTATTTTCTTCCCGACTTTCTGGGATGTATCAATTCCTGATGGATAGTCACTGACTATTGATTTCTAGCACACTGATTTTATACTTGGTCCCTTTTCCACCTTCCCCCAGTTCCCGAAGTAGTTAACTGTCTGTAAGGAAATAGGTCTTAGGCTAGAAGAATCCTTAATTAAAGGCAGATTTTGTAACTGCAGTCTCCTCTTAAATTCACATTCAGTTCTGTGAATTTATATGTGTATTTTTAAAGCAGAAAGAAATATTCCTATGTTCTGATAAGGATGTATGCTCAGAGAGTCTGGATTTCCCTTCATGAATTGATTTAAGCCATTGTGAAGCCCAGTGGCTTATAAGAAACCAAGAATTTACTTTTTTGAGTAATTATGAGATTAGTCAAGGTCAGAAGCTGTGTCTTCATGTAAAGAAGGGTTAATTTATAAGTTTTTTTAAATTTCATAAATACACTGATAAATGGGATACTAGTAAAGCTGAAAGGTTGAGGTTCTTCCAAAAAACTAACTTTTTTGGAAGATAAGAGTCTTTTGAGAAGAGTTTTCTCATGCATTATTTGATCTGGGTCTTACCACAACCATCCAGGGTTGGTATTCTCATTTAGCATTGAATTCACCCTTGAATTCCTCAAGCTTGAGTTCCTCATCCCAGCACTGGGAACTGGCCTGCTTGCTGGGGCCAAAACCACTCATTCCCTTTAACACAACTTCACCAGAGTGCTGCCATTTTTTAGATGAGATATGTAATAATTATAAATTTTCAAAAAGGCTAGGAAACAATTCCCATAACGATCAGTAGTTCAGTGTTAAGTTCATGAATAATTTTTAAAGTTTGGGACAAACTGTAGTATTTGCTATTTGAAGTAGTATTTGTAATTGGCATATTACAGTGTAACATTGGGCCTTCATTTCCAACTCAAAATGCCTAAAAATGCCTAACAGGTTTTTAGATTTGTGAATTTTAGTTGAAATGTATTTTAAGATGTTATTAAACCTGCAGAAATATTGAAGTATTTCAGAGAACTTATTCACTGTACATTTATTTTATTTATAAAAGTTATGTACTATGGAAAGTTTTGCTTGTTGGGTCAAATGCTTGTTTCTTCAAATGCTTGTTGCATTTGAAGTGCTATTTACAAGAAAATCAAATACCTTCAATGTATAAATGCTATTAAGCTATTTAAAGGACTCTGGAGTATAAGTAAGTTTGTTTAAAGAAATTTAGTCTGTTCAACTTAAATCAGCTCTATCAAACATTAATTAAAAGCCTCATTTAAAATGATTGTTAAAGTATAGTAATTTTCTGAATGGAATGACAGTGTATGCTCGTGGGGATAATCCCTTTGTAGAGAAGGGGAAACTGAGGATTATAGGAGAGGGATGCCAACGGCTGGGTCAGTGTCCTTGGGAGGAGGCGCGGGTCTGAGTGCCCGAAGGGAAGGGTTGGCTTAGACAGTGTGTGAATAGCTGGGGCATTGTTCAGGAAGGACAGAGATATGACACAGATGCAATTGTGTGTAGAGGTGATGATGGTGGTTTGTGGAAGTTCTTTAATGAGTTCCTTTATTGGAAAAAAACAACCAACTGAAACTGGTTGGAGAAGATCAGAGGTGTTGAAAGTTTGAAAAGAACACAGAGTAGATATGAGAGAGGGCAAGAGCTCACACTTCGGAGCATGTCTGCCTGAGTGTGAATCCTGGCTCGGCACTCGCTGACTGTGTGACTGTGTGACTTTGGACACGTTATTTTACCACTTTGTATTTCATTTTCTTCATCTGTTAATTAGGCACAACCACAGAAAGTGGCTGTGAGAATTGAGTTAATGCCTATAAAAGTACCTAGAATATTTCTATTGTTTGCTATTATTATTGTTGGGGGAATAAAAGTACTAGAGAGGGAAGTAGCATTACCAGCAGAGCTCAGGCCCATGTGCGGGAAGTGTTACAGACTTCAAGCAAGCCCAGTCAGCATGACTGTTTTTCTCTAGTCACGTTTGGCTCTGAGGATGCAGATGTGGGGTAGGCTGAGGTATGGACTTAATCAACAGCGGAGGTTTCATCAGTGAGTGCAGGGTAATTAAGAAAGGGACAAGGGCATTGCTGTGACATGAAAGCCGTGCACAGTGCACCGTGGAGTCACAGCTGGGTAAGTAAGGAAATGAGGTCACAAGGGAATACCCGGGTTGATGGACTGTTGGTGTGTGTGGAGATGAGTTAGTTTGTGTATTAAAGGTAGTGAGATGGAGACATGAAATATGCTGGTGAACAAGCCAAGAATTATGATGAAATAAAGCCAAGAATAATGTCAGAGAGACAGCAAGCGAGAAGCTACAGTGGTGAAAAATCTATGGGGAAGACGTCCCTGGTGGCCCAGTGGTTGGAAATCCTGCCAGTGCAGGGGACAGAAGCCTGTGCGCCACAGCTCCTGAAGCCTGCACACCCTGGGGCTCTGCAACAGGAGAAGCCATTGCAACTAGAGGCTAGTCCCCACTCGCCACAACTTGAGATATCCCATGTGTAGCGGTGAAGACCCAGTGCAGCCAAAAAATAAATCTTTAAAAAAAGAATCAAGAGAGAGTGGCCCTTATTGATGAACAATAAAGTGGAGTATTTCATACGTAGTCAAATGACATGAAAGTTTAAGAAGAGGTTTTCTTGGGGAGGAATAGGGGAGCATGGTCCAGAAGCACTGAGGCTCACCTGCCCTACCTGTTAGGACAGCTGTGTGACGGGTGAGGGGACAGCATCAGCAGCACTCAGGAGGACCACAGAGGAAGCTGGCCCCCTCTGCCTCCCGCCTTCCACATCTTGTGTGAGTGTATCTGATTAGTGGCGCCTAATCCTGCATCCTGCTTATTTAACATATGCAGAGTGCATCATGAGAAACGCTGGGCTGGAAGAAGCACAAGCGGGAATCAAGATTGCCGGGAGAAGTATCAATAACCTCAGATATGCAGATGACACCACCCTTATGGCAGAAAGTGAAGAGGAACTAAAAAGCCTCTTGATGACAGTGAAGGAGAGCGAAAAAGTTGGCTTAAAGCTCAACATTCAGAAAACTAAGATCATGGTATCTGGTCCCATCACTTCATGGGAAATAGTTGGGGAGACAGTGGAAACAGTGTCAGACTTTATTTTTTTGGGCTCCAAAATCACTGCAGATGGTGATTGCAGCCATGAAATTAAAAGACGCTTACTCCTTGGAAGGAAAGTTATGACCAACCTAGATAGCATACTAAAAAGCAGAGAGATTACTTTGTCCACACAGGTCTGTCTAGTCAAGGCTATGGTTTTTCCAGTGGTCATGTATGGATGTGAGAGTTGGAGTGTGAGGAAAGCTGAGTGCCGAAGAATTGATGCTTTTGAACTGTGGGGTTAAAGAAGACTCTTGAGAGTCCCTTGGACTGCAAGAATATCCAACCAGTCCATCCTAAAGGAGATCAGCCCTGGGTGTTCATTAGAAGGACTGATGCTGAAGCTGAAATGCCAATACTTTGGCCACCTCATGCGACGAGTTGACTCATTGGAAAAGACCCTGATGCTGGGAGGGATTGGGGTTGGGAGGAGGAGGGGACGACAGAGGATGAGATGGTTGGATGGCATCACCGACTCGATGGACATGGGTTTGGGTAGACTCTGGGAGTTGGTGATGGACAGGGAGGTCTGGCGTGCTGAAATTCATGGGGTCACAAAGAGTTGGACACGATTGAGTGATGGAACTGAACTGAATCCTGCATCCAGAGCACTATCTGCAGTGGAGTCTGAGAGATGTGGTTTGTAGTCTTCCAGCTCTGCAGTTCTGAACACAACCTAGAAGGAGTCTGGAGCAGAGGATCAGGAAGGCAATCCACACGACATTCTTCCCCAAATAGTCTACACGTCTTTAAGTATAAGAGCAAACATACCCTCAACTCTGGGCTTCCCCGGTGGCTCAGATAGTAAAGAATCTACCTTTGATGCAAGCGACCTAGGCTCGATCCGAGTCAGGAAGACCCCCTGGAGAAGGGAATGACAACCCACTCCAGTATTCTTGCCTGAAGAATCCCATGGACAGAGGGGCCTGGCGGGCTCCAGTCCATGGCTGGGAAAGAGTCGGACACAATTGAGCGACTAACACACACACATACACCCTCAACTCTAAACAAATGGGAGTACGTTATACTTGTTGCTCTGCATTTCACTTCCACTTACTGTGCGTCAGAGAATCCGCCAACTTAGTACACAGAGCTCTGCTTCATCCTTTTCTTTATCCTGCCCTATCTCGCTGAACAAGATGGGCCGTAATCAGTTTAGCCAGTCCTCCCTCGATGGGCATTTAGACTCTCCATTCTTACACAGTTACGCGTTGAGTAGGCTTTTTCGTAAGTTCTTGTGCATTTTGAGGTGTGTATACTGGGATAAATTGATGTGAATTACCCTAATTCTAGAGTGTAAGTCTTTGTCTTCCCACTGCAAAGTAACGTTTCATCCCTGCTGCTCATCTTCATCTAAGGAGGCGCTACCCAGCTTTCAGTCAAGCTCCACCCACCAGAATCACTGGCAAAATGTGTTCCTTGAAGACCTTCTCTCCCCCCAGGTACTTTGTATTCGATAGGTTGAGTGAGGGTGAGTAAAAGTCGCTCAGTCATGTCTGTGGACAGTAGCCCATCAGACCTCTCTTGTCCATGGAAGTCTTCAGGCACGAATACTGGAGTGGGTTGCCATTTCTTCAGGGGATCTTCCCGACCCAGGGATCAAACCGGGGTCTCCTGCGTTGTAGGCAGATTCTTTACCTTCTGAGCCGCCAGGGAAGCCCCTTAGGATAAATAAGATACTTAACCTTATTAGGGGCAAGGGCTGCTCTTATTCCCACTCTACACATGGTGACACTGAAGGGGCACAGTAGGTGTCTTGTCTAAAACCACACAGCTGGTTTGTGCCAGATCTGGGATTTGAACTTGGACAGTCTGGTTGAAGAGTACCTAGTTTCATCCACTACAGGAATATTCTAGAAACATGGAATATGTCTTTATTCATCTTTGTATTCTTGACTTT